CCCCGTCTCTCTCTCTCTGCTTCCATGCCTGCAGCCTGCAGCCATTCCACTGCTCAACAGCCTGAGGGCCTTCCTGACCACAAACCAGGCTGTGGTCGCTCCCCAGTGCTGTCCCTTTACACTTCTCACTGCACCTGGGACTTGGGGAAAGCAGGATGTAGCCCTCCGCCATGCCTCCACCCTCACTTCCCACCACCCCCCACTCCCACCGCCAGCCACTACAGAGGGTCATTCCCTCAGTAGCTTGTTCGCTCTCAACCTGGAAACTTCTTCAGGGCTCCTTGCCACTCCTGAGAGAGGCCTCCCCGACCTTCTCTCAGGGGGACTCTTCTCCATGCCCTGACACACCTGCTTTATCTCCTCCATTGCCCTGATCATCACTTACGTTATGTTACCTCTGTGTTTTCTGCTTTGTTTTTCTGACTCTCTTACTATTAAATTCCAGATGGCAAGGACTCCACTGAGCTGAGCCCTGCTCCTAGACTAGTAGCCTGGACTTAACAGGCCAGAATAAATACTTGTTGAATAAATGAAGGAAGGAAGGGTTATATACACCACTGGACCACTAACTGTATGATAACAATGCACATCTCTCGAGTATGTTTAGTGGCTGAAGACTTAATTTTAGATACAGTGTTCAGTAATAATAGAAGTAGTTATTTTATCAACATTTGATCATTAATGCTTTAAGGTCCTGTGACTTTTTTCTTTAACACCCATTGGCTTGGTTTGTCTCCATAGGGAACAATGCCACCCTCCCAGGGTCAGGACCAAGTCTGAGTGTGGAGGAAGAGACCCCCGGTGAGGGGGATAACCTATTGGGCCCTTCTGCCTCCAAGGACAGAGCCGTGTCTGTGCTCCTGGTTGACTGGCCCAAGGCTCTGCTGGGCCGAGCTCTTTTCCAAGGCTATGCTGCCTCAGGTATGGATATCCTCTTTGCATCTTGCAATTTTTTGGAAGGTCTTGAATCTCAGTCCTTAATTTCTTCTGTAACTTTTCCCTTTAATCTGTAAGTATTTGCGAAGTCTCACCTTTTCTGCTTGTGCCTGTCCCTCTGTGGACACCAGCTTGAAGCTCTGGTATCAAAGTGGAATTCACGTCTGTTGCTACCATGAGCTCTGGGTTTGCAGAGCAAAAGAGTAAGAGGGGTGCTGTCCAGCTGAGGCAGCTCTGTGCCCCAACAGCCTGTGGACGTGTTTCTGTCACGGCCTTTTGTGGCCTGGATGAGTGATTTACATGAATTGATCAAAATGAATCTGTTTCTGCAGAGAAGCTAGCTTGGTAACTGTTTCTCCCTGTATAGACATGCTAATTTGCTCCATCTTCATAGTAATACGTGTGGTTATGTCATCTCTACCAACCTGGGGGTGGGGGGAGGCTCTGGGTTTCACAATGTGGGAGGAAACCTCCACAGCTGACTCTCCCTACACTGACCACCTCCTTGAGTTGACCTAATTTTCACAGACCAGACCTGCATCACATGTACGTATCAGCACAGCAGACCTGGTTCCTTATGTTGACCACCGTGGCCAGTTGGTTACAGTCCCGTGGGTGGTCAACATGAAGAGCTTCTACTGTGTTTTTAGATGATTTTCACCTCATCCTTTCCTGGAAACATTTCAGAGAGTACCATTTTAAAATTGTGACGTTTAAAAATCTGTCTCATTTTAGATTATCAGCCTTGTATCTTGGTTTCCTCTTACTTTCAGGGAAAGTAGTGAGGGTCAGCCTCTCCCTGCTAAGGAAGTAATCCAGTTCCCACAGTCAGCATTTACACCCAGATTAAGAATATTTTATAACCAATATTCTGCAAAGGTTTAAAAATTGCTTTTAAGTACCTTAATCATACTTCATGGATAAACAACATTTATGAAATAGCCAAATTAAGCACTGAACTTAATTGTAAAGGTGTGAAATAAGAACTTCCCAGCAGGCTTGTGTGGCTTGGGAGATCAGTGTCATTTCTGAGCAAGAGACAGCAGGTCCCGTGAGACCTGGAGAGGAGCTTCTAGATCTTTAAAGAGGACTGGTAACCAGTGAACCAGCTGCGTTTCCACATAGGAGCAGCACATTTCAAACCTAGTTCACCTTCACCTTTGGGCTAAGGGCAGGACCTATGCCCAAGGCCTCTGTCTGCCCTCCTACTTCTCAGAGTCCACTGACCATCACTTCCATGTGGCCGTGACCTTCCTGCAGGTATCACAGAACAAACAGTGACAATCAAGCCATTTTCACTGAGCAGTGGAGAGACATACGTCCTGCAAGCGTCTGTGGGTATGTTACGCTGCCAGTGGGTTTGGTGTGGGGAACCATGCAGACTTTGGTTGCATTCCTATTTTTTTTTCCTAGAATTGACAATCACTCTGTCCCCCACCCCCCATGAGCTCTTGCTCCTGTGTCCTGATTCCCTTGGCTACTCATCATTGCCCACTGTGGCACTGCGCTAGAGGGCAGGAGGCGGCCTGCTGTGTCTGGGAATTTACTCCTTCCTGGGGAGTTGGACACAAGCTTGCATCAGGGTAAAGGCTGAGCCGAGGCGTTTCTTTTTCAATGGTGTTTTGTGTTTATGCCAGACAACCAGGTAAGTTGATGGCTTCCTGCAGATCCATCCATAGTCTCTCTGTAAGGTCTGTAGGCCTCCCCTGCGGGATGTCATTGCTGGTGTCTGTGCTGTCCTATTTAAATTCACCCACACACTTGCCCTTGCCGGGGCTCCATGCTCCCTCTTGGGTTCCTGTGACTCAATCTGAGATCATCCTTTTGGGTAATTTCTAGACATTTCCTCCCTTTATAGAGGTTTTTAGTTTTGAGTAACAAGCATGGAGGACTTAACAATTTATATCTACAAATAGGTTTGGTATAACGTCTACATTTTTACATTAATTTAAGCCCATCATGCATTAACGCAGGATGCAGGACACATCCTGTTGACCTTCATGTCACCCAGGGAGGGAACCCAGGTTAACCACCTTCTCAGGACGTGGTAGGTGGCGCTGCCTGAAAGTCTCATGTCTCTGCAAACCTCCCCTTGTCCCTTACACAGCTGCATAAAGCTGCTAAGCCCTGGCACAGTAGGACCAATGTTTGGTTTTGCTTCAGTAAATACCTTTTTCCCTTCAGCAGGACAGCGCTCTTTTCTGCCTCTGAAATTTGTCCGGGGCTAAAGACCATTCCGTTAGACAGGTCACATTCCTTACTGGGGTAGGAGATTCCTGAGAGCCCCGCCCCCACCCACAGGGCCCACTCGGTGTCCTTGGTTGGCTGTGGGGGTGAGCTTGGGCTCCAGGTCTCCTGCCTGGCCTCCTCCTCCCTCTGGCTTGCACACCTCCCTGACCACCACCCTCTCCTCCTGTCCTTCTGAGTACACGAGGCCACTGTATGAGTCTTTCCCATAGTTATTTTATCTGGAATACCCATTCTTTTCTCCTGGTCTTTTCCTGACCCCCATGTACAACTCAAGCCCCAAGACTGTTTATTCAGATGTGTCTTTTTTGGTGGAGATTTCCCTGGTGATCCAGGCAGAGTTAGTCACTCTGTCCTCTTGGATTTCATAAGATCTGTCTTCCATGGTTGATATGACTATTAGCAAAGATAATATATGAACAGTGTCTCTCAGAACAACTGCTATGTATCAGAGGCTCCATAGCAGATGCAGGATGTGTCCTGCACTCTGTGTTAATGCATGATGGGCTTTAATTAATGTAAAAATGTGGATGTTATGCCAAACCCATCTGTAGATATTAAGTTGATTATCATTATTATCTATTATGGTGATAATCATTATTTCAAGATCTTGAATAATTTGACACGTAAATCTCAGTCCTAAAATTCTTCCCAAGAAAACATTATCCATTAAATGTTAAAAACCTTCTGTATGGGAATAATCATTATAGGATGACTTATAATAGCACAACTCATAATAGCACAAAATACAAAAGCTCAGTGGGGAATGACAGTTACACATGTTGGGGTGTGTCTCCTGGGCAGGATCTCATGCAGCTATTTGCAACAGTGATTTTGGATGGTATATGACAACATGGGAAATCATTGTGATACTAATACAGTTAATTAAAACAAAATAAAATTCTATCAGTGCTGTAAATTCAACTAAGCTCTTCCTATGTGTGTATATGGCTAAGGCTTCCAGGAGAAGGGAGTAAGTTGGGTTTGCTGGGCCTGATGTGCTCATTCTTGTTTACTTCGCTTACACTTTGGTCTCTGTCTGGGTGGTCACCATCTGACTCCGGGTAGTGAATTGGTCTCTCTGTTCCCCTTCTATTTCCCCAGGGCTTAGAATTGTGCCCACCCCACCTAGTGAGCACCCAGTAAGGCTTATTATCTATGAGTGCTGTGGGGAGTGGTTCTTAAACCCAAGTCACCAGAATCCCCAAGGGGCATGTTAAAACTCAGATTGACAAGTCTGTTTCTGAGCTGGCGGGTCTGGGGGAGGCCTGACAACCTGCATTTCCAACAAGTTCCCAGGTGATGTGATGCTGCTGATCAGGGGACCCTCACCTTGAACCCTTGCCTACAAGGCTTGTGCTGTAAAGATTTAACCTTGTGCTGCTGTAACTCTCCATCATGGGTGTGTCTCTGTTCATCTTTCTCTAGCTTCCGAGCAGCGCTTACTAGGTAAAGCTCAGCTCTACGTGACAGTCAACCAAGCTCCGGGGGACGTGGCCTGCCAGGTGCAGCCCCCCCGCGGCCTAGAGGCACACACCGTCTTCAGCATCTTCTGCACATCAGGAAAGCCGGTAGGTGGGCAGCTGCATGTCTGTCCTGGGGGACCCATGGCACTGGAAGCTGAAAGTCACTGCAGCTCTCCAGGAGGTGCTGTAGGAATGGGAAGTGTTGCCCCACCCACCTGTGCAGGAATTTGGCCAGCAGTTGAATGTTGTAAGGTGGCACAGGCGTGAACATGTCCCCTGCCCACTAATGAGAGGGCTGAAGGGTGATCCCTAGTTCAGGAGTAAAGAATTCACTCACTAGGAGACGTCACAGGGCCCCACAGCCTGATCATAGTAGGAGCTCAGTTAATACCACACACGAGAAGTAGGTGTGCAGGTGACCCGAAGTGAGCAGCTTGACCAGCCTGTATTCAGGTGCACCTCTAACTTGGACTTAACCTCGCTCTCCTTATTTGGGCAACAGAGAAGACCACTGGGATTGCTTTGCTCAGGGTCTTGTGAGGATGAAAGGAGAGGATGGGTTCAAAGAGACAGTTGCTTCCTCCTGAAGTTGAGTGGGGGACAGGGCAGGAGGGGGCGACCTTGCCACCCTGGCTCCATCCTCTCATCCTCTTGGCACAGACTTCAGCCTGTCCCTGCCCATCTGTCCTACCCATGCCTCTCCTCTCTCAGAAGCCTGCCCTTATTCTCATGAAGGTCCCTGCAGGCCCAGTACCTGCAGGCTACTCCTTTCTCCCCACCCAGCCCCTTGGGTCAGTCTCGTACCCAGCAGTGGAGAAGCAAAGTGCCTCCAGGTCCCCCTTGACTTTGAGGTGCTGACAGCCTGACTCAGGACTATCAGGAGGTCCTGGGCAAGGAGAGCAAACAGACCCCAAGTGAGGCATCCTGGAGCTGTGTGGGAAGCCCGTGGGGACCTGGAAAGGATCCCTAGAGGGTGGAAGAGGGCCCCTGGAGTGGGCTGTGTAGCTGGGACACTGCTTAGCTATGACTTACCCTGTTCCTCGCTGTAAAAAAATGTCCTCAGATGCAGTGAAGGCTACAGGTGTGTGGAGACTTATCAGTGGAGTCACTAACAGTGTGTTCATCTGTACTATTTTTTTGTTTCCTCTGGATCGGATCATAGGACTTTCTTTATGAATTTAGCTACCACGTAGGAAACGCCTCCACACACACTTTATACCGAGGGAGAGACTCCCAGTATTATTTCTCTCTGCCATCTGGTGAGCCCTTGGACGATTACAGAGGTAAGCTGTGGGCCAATTGGGGTCATCAGCTATGCTTACATAGGGTTTTAAACCTTTTTTCTTGATTTAAAAAAACTAAAAATTATTAAAACTATGTCTAGAAAATACAATTATTTATTCACTTTGATAAGTTCAGTGTTTTTTAGTTTAGGTTAATTATTTACCTTTTAGTCCAGAAAGAACATTAGTGATGTTATCAGTAAATTACTTTTTCCTATACTCAATTTTAAATGAAATATAATGTAAATGATGAAATGCCAGATAACATTTTTTATATGTGAATCAAATATTTAAGACCAAAATGTCTGTTGTTTACTAATGAAATATCTCTTATCTGGTGAATCTTGCATTTATTGTAGACAAAACCAAACCAAGCACTCCCCCAAAGAGGAAAACATGGGGAGAGCAAAACGCTGAGTTAGTGTGTTATAAAATCAAAATTAAATGAATCCCAGTGTTAACAGCTTTCTGTTCTGATACTGTTCCTGTGGTTGTGTGCAGTTCTAACAGCCCTTAAGGACTGGCCTCAACTGAGCCATTTGGGAAGATATTTCGCCACCCACAACCCAGGCGAGTTAAATTAGAACCTCTGGGGTGATTTTTAGTTTTTATTTTTTTTAAACTTCTAGATGATTCCAATATGCAGGCAAGTTTGAGAGTGAGTGATCTGGACATTTCTTGAACTTGGGCTCGTTAGATTATTTCAGTCTGAAGTCTGAACTAGTTCATGCACATGATTTATTAAAATTTCACCTTTCCTTTACACCCAGCTAAAATGTTTTCTTCTTCATGAAACCCTGCCTGTTACCTCCAGTTAGAAACACTTGCACCTTATTCTAGATTCAGTTGATCAGAACTTCTGAGTTGGGCATTTCGGGATCTTTGTAGTCATGCCCTGCTTTGTATCATGATGACTTTGTGGTCCACTCTGATCTGGAAGCTTCCTGAAGTCAAGCAGGAAGGCCAGCTAGCACAGCCAGTGTTGGTGAATGGACAAGTGAGGGCCAACCTCCACGTGTCCGTGTCCTTAAACACTGAGACTGCCTTTGCCCTCTGAGTCCTGAGGCTTTTCTCAGAATGGAGGCTCCCCCACTTCTTGTATTAGACATGAAACCAGGGACTCATCCTAACAGCGGGGTCATAACAGGATGTGCCCTTAGGCGAGGAGGCCCAGTTGGAAATGGGCTCCCATCTCCTGGAGTTTGGGTATATTAAGACCTGGGGTGCCCTCCCCAGAGAGCTGCATGTGGGGGTAGATGGGACCTCTGTCCCCCAGGGCACCCATAGACCACAGGGCTGGGCAGACGTCATGTAGAAGGACTTTATGGCAGAGCCTCATCTCTGTGTTGGAAGAAAGGATTTTTTAACATAAATGTATAAAACTGAATTTTAGGTCATGTCCCCGAGCAGTGTGAGGGTTTGTGATATTACTGAAATCATTACCCAGCATGATATTTGGTATAATTGTCAATGTGTGTATGGTTATTGTGAATATTTGGATTCAAGACTTATAAGAGGGTAAACATAAACAAAATAAGCATAATTTGACAGATATTTAACACTTGACCTTCTCCCATCTTTTGTGTGAATGAATATGGGGAAGACTCAGTGGAGTCATGCCTGAAGCCTGGTCCTTTTCTGAGATTCGGTACCTTGTACTGTGACACCGATGTCCTTTGTGGTGGGAACATTTGTTAAAATTTCAGCTTTCAGGAGCCCACTTGATATCTATTGACTAGAACCAAGGGACAAAAGGGGGCCCAGAATTTGCATGTAGAGAAACTTCCCAGTGATGGGGGTGTAAGTGTGTCCATGGGCTACATCTCGAGATGCTCCCACTTTCAAAATCCTGTCCCCAGTCCTTGACACAGGTTTCAGGTTGAGGAAGTGTTTATACAGAACCCAGGGCACACCTGTGTGTCCAACTATCTATGTGGGTCACATGACTACTTGTGGCAGTGACATCGGGCTGTCACCTGTACCGGGAGCCCCATTTTCAGGTCCCCTCACCACAGTCCTGGGATCCTATTCCATGAGAGAATTCCTAGGTCCCCACAACAGGTCTTGGGTCTTTTCATTAAAATACCTCCTCTGTCAGAATTCTTCTTTACCTTTTTTCTAGACCTGTTAAATTTCTATACATTATTTTGGAACTTGTTAAAATATTACCCCAAGCCTGGATGGCCCATTGCTGGGTACGTTTCATGCTCTGGTCTCCCTGTGGCTCCAGGCCTGGACAGAGGCGGACACCCTACACACCACGCCGCAGGGTAGGGCCGCTGTGTGAGCGCGTGAATGAGGGCCTCCCTCCCTCTCTCCTTCAGCACACAGCGGCGACTCTGCCTCTAACTCTGAGACACCTCCTATCTCCTCATCTAAGGAGCATTCACTGCTTTGCACTGGTGCTGAGATTTTTTATATGCCAGTTTTGAGATCTCCCTGGGAGGATGAAGAACCTCAAGTCTCACTCTCAGGCCTTGCTCATTGTGTTACCCCTGGTGCTTCCATCACCATCCTGGGCATACAGATCAACTCAACAGAGATTCTGTTAACTGACTTCCTGATAACGGTCTGCTGTGTAGGTGCCTTGGGAGGGAGCACAGCTTGTAATGTCATCTTGCCCAGAGCTTTGCTGGGACTGAGCCCATCTCCTGTGCCCTTCCCTCGCTGCTGTCTGTGTATGAAGAAGTGGCTCTGTGGCCACATGTCCAGCACGACTCTCCTGATGTTTCCCTTACAGTTCTGGTTTCCACTGAGATCACAGATGGCAAAGGCTCCAAGGTACAGCCCTGCGCTGTGGCGGTGACCGTGCTGCCATACTACCGTGGGAGTGACTGCCTGGACGAGGGCCTGTGAGTAACACAATACCACGTGGACATCCTAGGGCAGTGTTTGTGTGTTCTCAAGATGCAACCCTGCCCCGACTTGTCAGCAAGGGTCAGAGAGTGGAGGAACTCGTCCTGTCAGGGCTCCGCCACAACAGGGCTGCTGACTCACGGCTGCACGGGTGCGCCAGAGCTGCAGAGTGCTTCTTTCTTCAAAACAGTTGTATTGAGACATCACTCACATACATACAGTTCATCCATTTAAAATCTAAGTTTCTCTGCTTTTAGTGCACTTGCTGAGTTGTGCAAACTTCATCATAATCTAGTTTAAAAACATCTGCTTCATTCCATCAGAACCTCATACTGGCTAGGAGTCACTCCCCTTACCCCACAATCCAGCTTCCTCCTACCAGCCCCAACCACTCACCTACTAGGAGTCACTCCCCTGACCCCATCGTCCAGCTGCCTCCTCCCAGCCCCAACCACTCACCTGCTTCAGGTCTAACGATTTGTCTACTTTGGGAATTTCGTATCAGTGGGAAGATACAACATGTGACTGTTGTTTCTTGCCTGGCATATGAATGGCTTGGAGCATCATCTATGTAGTAGCAATATTAATAACTCATTCCTTTTTATTGCTGAATAATATTTCATTGTATGAATACATCACATTCTGTTCATTTATAATTGAGGAACAAATAGATTGTGTCCACGTTTTGGCCACAGCAAGTCACAGTGCTGTGGATGTTGATGTGGGTGTGTGTTTTCATTTTCCCTGGGGAGATAATTTGGAGTAAAATCACTGGGTCGTATGGTAACTCTAGTTTTAGCCTTTTGGGGAACTGTCGAATTCTTTTCTGAAGCAACAGCACCATTTTATATGACTGGCTGTGATGTCTGAGGGTCCTGGTATCAGCAGCCTTGCCAACACCAGCCATGCTCTGTCTTTGTTCACAGCTGTTGTAGTGGGAGTGGAGTGACGTCTCATCAGGGTTTGGAGTGT